CACACACACACACACACACACACACACACACACACACACACACACACACACACACACACACACACACATATACATATAGATAGATAGATACACACAAATTTATTTTTAATGTTTAAGAGTAATCTGACAGGCTCCTCTATAAAACAGAGACAACCTGGTCTTTATTACCCTCAAAGCCATAAAAGCTGCAGTCAATAATTGCAACCACCTTACTCAGAGGTAGACTTACCTGTGAAAATATAAAAGAGCTCATGTCATCATGGACATGTTACAAATCGATGAGTGAGCACAGGAATATGTTTAATGAAGTCAGCTGAGCATTAACGTTTAGCTCTCGTGTCTGATGTCAGTCAGATCATGCAGAAAAAGGAGTCTGTGTTGTCTGCCAGATTTCAGCAGGCAATAAAAGCCCTGACTGGAAAGGAAGTAATTCACTTGATGAAGTGAAGCGACTGGCTGTGTGAGGACAGTTCAGCCAGCGACGCACAGATCGATTGAGTGAATCTGTGGAATTAAAATTTTTCATGGCTGGGCTTTACACTGATGATGTGCTACTGACTTATTTCAGGATTCATTTCAGGACAATAGTCATCTCACAGTATAATATTTGATCATTAATCAAGGGGCAGGGATAGCTAGGTAGAGTGGTGGCCCCATGATCAGAAGGTTGGGGGTTCAATTCCCCTGAACATCTACCCTGAGGTACCCCTGAGCAAGGTACCATCCCCACACGCTGCTCCCCGGGCGCCCAATGGCTGCCCACTGCTTCACTGAGAGAGTGGTTTAAATGCAGAGAGGAATTTCCCCACGGGGAATAAATAAAGTACTCTTTCTTAATGTGTTTGTTTTGACTCTTGAACTTTTAGAAAATGTGTTTGTTCTAAATCTTAAAATCCAAAAGGGTTTATATTCTGACTTATTACTGTAATTTATGGGTGTCAGTCTATTTATTAAGGGAAAAGACTTAAAATGAGAACACATCATGTGACTGTGGTTTATTTTGCTGTGCACAAGTGTTGTGCAAAAATAGAATGTGGGAATTTAAAGTGTTATAAATGAGTTTTTGGCCTATAATGTGTGAAAAATGTGTTAGTGAGAATAAAAAAATATGTTTGTCAAGATAAATCTGGCCAAGAGAGCAGCAGAAATTGTCACAAATATGACATCACAGTTCCATAAACATACTTTCATGGACCAAATGGATCTATCTATCATCTATATGATGATATAGATAGATAGATAG